CAAGTTTCTCCTTGGAGGCTAGAATTTTGAAGCTCCATCTCACATACTTGGGGAACATGGCCAGGAGGGACTAATCCTTGGAGAAGGACATCATGCTCGCAAGAGTGGAGGGAAGGCTCAGGAGAGGAAAACCCTGGATTAGATGGATTGATATAGTGACTGGGACAATGAAGGTTGTGTATTAGAATCAGTAAGACACAGGGCAGGGTTCAGAGCTGCTGTACATAGAGTTGATATGAGTTGCAGGTGACTTCACAGCATCTACCAACATGTCAGAGATGATGATGATGGAGTAATGATCAATTCAACAACATATAAACCTGTAACAACAATTGCTAGCGATCCTGGCCATTTCTTAATGTATTTTAATTGACCATCTGAATGTCTTGTTAAGTGAAAAGTCTTTTCACATATTCTACCTATTTTGTAATTTGGTTGTGTATCATTTTCTTATTGAGGTGCTGAAGCCCTTCATAAATTTTACGTATGAGTTCCTTAATAGATATGTAATTGGTAAATATTTTTCCATTGCTAACCCAAATGTGGACTTTCTATGCTTGTTCAAATTACCAGCAATTATTCTCCTGTGTGAATATAGCTTCTTGAAAACCTGCTGCCAAGTCAGCTCCAAGTTGATTCTGACTCAAGGGCAACAAGATTTTTGTTTTGTTTTGTTTTGTTTTGTTTTTAATACTTCTTTGTTTCTAACTTTTACATTCCAGTCACAAAATATCGGTAAGCATCTTGATTGTATTTCAATTGTATGTCAATTTCAGACTATAGAAGTTGGGTAGAAATATTAAATTTCTTCATCTTTGGATTAGTTTTTAAACCATATATTTTAACAAAATAACCATATTAACATGTTTTCTTATAAGAATATGGATATTATCCTATCATTGACAACATTATTCTTCATCATTTATCTGGAATTTTCATTTTGACAACAAATGTGTCATCATTCCTCTTTAATTTGCCATTCCTAGCATAGTAGAGCATATGCTTTACTGATTTAAACTGGTCAATACTAATCCACCTTATCTAGATCTTTCTGAATTCCATTCTATTTTTGATAGCTTCTAGTCTTCCCAGATTCCATAGTTCATGGATTGCATGTTGAAATGATGAATAAGTGTTTGCAACTATTTCTCATCATTTTAAGATTTGCTACATCAGCAAATGGAGGTCCTTCACTGGGTGAAAGCTTTACTCTGCCAACATCATTAAGATAG